TGTTTTATACCTGGATTTTCCTACAGAAAACTCCTACCACTGAATAATTTTATTTTCTGCTTTGGCTTAGCAGAAATCCTTTCAAATACTATGCATGGATGATTTCCACAACATGAACACAGTTAGAAAACCAACAGAGCAAATACTTACTAATGCTGTCCATATGACAACTCTTCTCATGGACATACAGTCATCTGTGGATGCAGTCCCTCCACCAGTTGACACAGCCAGCATTCACAGATGCGTAATGGTTTCATCTCCTGGAAGTCCACCCCAGCTGTGCAGAGGAGGGATATCCACCAGAGCTGTCATAACAGAGATAAAAAGATTTTGGCCTGAATTTAGTAAAAATTTCTTCCTAGAGAGCTTGGCCCGACCATACAAGGAAATTGATCTCTCTATGATGCGGCAATCTTTTAAAGAGCTAAGGCAAGACAGACAACATCTAACTATTTCACTTATAATCCAAACTGTTGCCTATAGCACGAGTGCACTTTGATGACTGAGTGTATATTTCAGCACATCAGTACATGTATAGTACTGTAGATACACCAAGTGAATCTTGAACAATCATTTATGATCATGAAGAAGAAAAAGGAAGAGACCAACAGCATCTACAATGCAAACTGGTGTAAAATTTGTGTGGCATTCTTGCTTAATGCAGTCCAGTCTTGGAAAAAGTATGGAAAGTGTAATGATTTGTGGACTTCATTGAATACGCAGTGTCTCATTAAGTCAGTTTGTCTGCAAAATATCTGGTTTCTAAGCTTGTGCATTTTGTTAAAGAGTCTCTCCTACAACGTACACAAGCTTGTTTCTAATTATTTAACTTTCTAACACTACTGTCTCTTCAATAACAATTTATTACTTATTACAGGGTTTATTCAAGAGAAAATCCCGAGGAATGTCAAACACTGCACAGTAAGGATGACTACCAGGCTTGCCACCAGTACATTTTTGATGTAATACCAGAATTCAAAGAATTCCTTAAATTACATGTGGTTTCCACTGTGGGTGACCATTTCCTATTTTTTAAAGGGAAGGGGGTAGTTGCACAGGGATTAACCAATAAACAATTTTGCTAGTTTCGGTAATATGGTAGATTTCACTGATAAGCGATACCTATCTGAGAAGTTTACTGTTGTTCCAGTGTCGAAAGAAGTAAAACTTAGCCACATCCCACGATTGCAAACGCTTCGTGTCGACAAGTACAGCTGTTGGGCAAATTAAAAAAATTAAAAAAGGTAGTAATTACAGTTTCTAGCAAACGCACTGAAAACCACAGGCAGCCCAAGCTCACTTCAAGAAAAGCGGACGTCACTCTTACCGTGTTGCGCAACGTTTTATATTTATAAAGGTTTGTATGGGATGTTATCGGTTTGCCTTGAAAGAGAGAAAAAATGTCTTGTTTTGAAATAAAATGGGCTAACCTTATTGCCTTGTTGTTTTCCTTTGTTGATTCCGAGCGTCTCAGGCCATTTTGAAGCTTTTTCGGCGAGTTAGCGCAACGTTGGTGTTCAACTGCTAAAAGAAAGACAAGGCCAGAAACCTATTTTAGAAGTGTCCGTCGCCCGAAGCGAATAATTCCACCAAAAAATTACCACCAGTCTATTCCAGATGTTGCAGTTTTATTTCCATTCACTCGATTCCCAATTCCTCTCACAGATATTTCACTAGCGATACTTTTATCTCCAGATCGATCGGCTTTCCAATTTCGAATTTGGCTGCTTGAAACATTTGTGGGCCCATTGGCCGATCACACAGTATGTTGGGTAACAAAAATAAGCCCGGTGAGGGTAGCCAGCGAACTGCAGTCGACAAACAAACCAGTTAGCTCTCCTGGTCCCCTTGAGAGGTTTTGTCAAGACTGCGTTGGTTTGATCGACCAATCAACATCGAATGGAAAGGTGTGATCAGAACAATGCGGTCTTGACAAAAAAAAGATTTTGGCCTGAATTTAGTAAAAATTTCTTCCTAGAGAGCTTGGCCCAACCATACAAGGAAATTGATCTCTCTATGATGCGGCAATCTTAATGTCAGAAAGGTGACAGAAACAGCAAAATCCTTACCAATGCAAATAATTATCGAGCGCCACATGTCGGCGCAAAGCTAAGTGATTATGAATACTTTCCAAACGCGAGAATGGCTCTGACTCACCTCTATCGTTACGAACAAATTACACTTTAAATCCAACCGGTGTTCAAACTTTCTGCCTAAGTATGATACAAAACCAGCCTTCT